TACGAGGTTAAGGCTATCCTGGCCTACCGATATTAGGGTAAACGACGTTAATACCTAATTAAATAGATAGGATATAGCGATAAGGAGAATACCTAGGAACCGAAGAGGAATATCCCCGATAAACTCGTTAACGCCTACTTTAAGGCAAAACTATTCGGGAACTATATAGGTCTATATACTAGTCCTATAAGGGACTTAATAGAGATAACGTGAGGTTATTATTACGTATTCTCCCCCCCCCTTTTTTTAGTGGACGGTATTTTTATAGCGAGACTTACTAGGAACTAAATAGGATTATACACTATTCCTATAGGGGACTAAATAGAGATAAGGGTCTATAAATCGGCTAGATTAAGCTAGTAAAACCCTTTAGTAGGACGTAGAGATAAATTCTTAGGCAGGGACCCCCTTTTAACCTAGACGGGGACTATATAGGCACTATTACCTCGCCTCCTATTTTCTTCCTTTAGAGCGTTCTACTCTTAACCTTTATTCTCCCTTTTTTAAGCGTTCTGCTTCCGACCTCTATTCCTTTTCGGTTATAACGCCCTTAACCCCGTTCTTATTCTTTTAGTATAATAATTTATCGCCCTTAAAGTCTAATTTCCTTTACTATTCCTAATTAACCGTTATAATAGAGACACGATTATATTATAATAGAAGCAGGGTTAGAACTATTAGGGTTATGATAGGAATACCCTATAGCTAGTTAAAAAAAAAAGGAAAAACCTAACCTAAAGGCTAGTAAAAAGCCTAAAGAACAAATAACCGTTTCCTCTATATATACTATCCTATCACGCCCCTAAAAAAGCGTCCTTAAACCCTACTAACTGATCGTCTAAAGGGGTAGGCTCCCGCCTAGCTACCTCGCCGTTTTTATCCTCTATATATACCTAGCTCTACCCCGCGGTAATAGCCGTTACCCCCTTTTATCTACTACCCGCGGATAGTGTTAAAGGCCGAAGAGATAGAGGCGTCTTCGCCTTCTACTACTTCTTCTTCTTTTTCCCTAATAAAGGAGTCGAGGGCGTTAAAGCCTTTTTCCCCTTCTTCACTAATAAGGTCGGCACTATATTATTATCGGCGGGCACTTTATAAGGATCCGGGGAACCCTAAGAACCTTACGGCACGAAGCCTTAAGGTTACGCAGGGCTATTATTATTAAATATATCGTCGCTTATAAAGCTAACCCCCGCGGGGGCTAAGGTAGGCCCTAAGGGTATAGGCAGGTCTCCCTAAGCCTAGGCTAGGTTAAGAGCGGCTATTTACTCGAAAGTAGTAGCCGTCCGCCCCTAGGCTATAAGGTCGTGCTTATATAATATAAGGCCTTATTATTTAATATTAAGGCGTTTCTGCTTAACGGCTAAACGCTACTACTATAGCCCGACGAATTACTTAAGGATCGACTCTATACTATTAAGCCTTTTATGGATATCTCCCGCCGTTTTCTAGCGGGTGTCGGTAACTTCCTTAGATTAACGCCGAGTAGCTATAGCTTCCTTAGTAGACGACTAGTTAACCTCTAGCGTTATTTAACCTAGAGCCTTTTTAAGAATAACCTAGTATCGAACTGCTATGGCCTAGTACTATAAAGGATTAGTAAGGGTATTATATAGGGTTAATAAAAGGATATAGTAACACATATACGGCGACTCTCGTTTAAGCCACCTTTTTCGATAGCGATAACTAAAACCTTTTATAGCTACTCGGTACCGTTCTTACTAGTAATAGGGAGCTATTATATATATTAGAAACAGGCCTACGGAGTAGTCTACGAAGGGGAGGGCTATAGGGATTAAGTAATAATAAACAGGTATAAAAGGAAATAAAGACGTATCGGAATAACGACGAAGATATATAACTTACCACGCGGTACTTACGGCTATTATACTTAGAGTAATAGTGGCACTTATTTGTCCGCCGACTATTATCGGTATAGCGGTATATTACGGCCTTAATAGTATACGTTTTTTTCTTAAAGTTAATCGCTACTAAGTTACCCATATAACGTATATAGGGGGCCCTTAAATCCCCGCTTATACCAATATCCACTACCCTTTAGCGTGGAGTAACCGACGGCGTAATAGTCGACGATAATATAGCCGTAGTAGGAGTAGGAGGCTCTGGCGTAGCTGGCTACGGGGCTGACTGCCTAGCGGACTACGAGGTTAATACCGTAGCCGTGGTCTTAAGCCGTTTAGAGGCCCGTGTTATACTTATAGGAGTAGCGGCGCGTTTATTATTATCGTCCTAGGAAGGTATAGTGACTACGTGTAGTTAGCTAGTATTATAGATTAGAGACGTTTAGAAGCACTTTTAAGACGGTAGTTATTTAATTAATAGAAGACTATAAGATATTAGTACGCGGTATCTTAGATTAGGGGAAAAGTTATAAAGAATAGTATAATCGGAAAATTAAGTATAGGAGAGAAAGAAAAGAATAAGAAGAAGGGAATAATAGTAGGTTACGAGATATCCCCTATAGCAGTTATATAGTATCTATTTTTAGTATAAAGAAGGAAGCTACGAGTTCGCGGAAAGAGTAACGTTAGACCCCACGTGATACTAGCTTAGGAGCCTTTATAGATAGATTAAAGGATAACCTAAGAGGATAAAGGGGTAAGTCTAAAAGGCTCTTAGGAGGGAACCACCCTAGAACCTATTAGGGTCTAGGCTAGGATATTAGCTTTAGTAGTTTAGTTAATAAAATGCACTCGGGTTAGGGCTATAGCCGAGGAAGGCTCCGTGTGGGAACTAGGCGGGACCCGTCGGGGTCCTGTTATAGAAGGCTCTAGTTCGGGGTATCGGGGAATTTAGAGATAGACTCGGAAACTAGGTTACGGAGGGGGTTTCGGAGGAGCTAAGAGGCCGGCACGGATTAGGCGCTCCTAAGGATAGGAGTATCCGGGGGAGGTCGCTATATTAGGTGCCTATAGTAGTGGTTATAATAGGCCCCTAGTATAAACCTATAGGGGTCTAGGTATGCTTAGTCTAAGACCCCTCGAGGTATAAATAAAGTAAGTTATTATATAGTAAATAGAATAGTCCCTCGAAGTAAATAAGGCAGCCCTTAAGGAAGTAAATAAGTAGTCCTTAAGGAGTAGAGCGTCGCCTTAAGGAGCAAGGGAGCCTCTCCTTTCGAGGGGGAGGCCAGCGATTAATCTAATTCTTTAGCTACCCCTATACTTTCCTATCGTGATCCTAGTATAATCCTATCTAGTTCCTTGCTTAACCCTACCTTTTCACTCTTTGCGACTACCTATTTAACACTACCTATAAAAGAGTATTTATACGTTTAGTAGGAATACTCGTAATACTTAGCGTTAGCCCTAGCCGCGCTAGAGCCCGACTAGTAGTAATACTCGATAATATATTCTTATTTATATTACCGGGTAGCGTACTAGGCGTAGGGGGCTAAGCGGCGGGGTCCGGGCGGGTTCTTAGATACGCGGCGCTTCTTCGGAGGGGGGGGGGTTAGGGTCTACTTAGCGTTAGTAACGGCCGACCTTATAACTAATAGTAACACGGGCTAAACTTACGTTATTATCGCTACTGCCCTTATAAGCGCGCTTCCTAGGGGAGGCATAATCGGATATCTGCTAATAGTTAGCTACGACTCTAAACTATAAGCGAGGAGCGTGCTAACTTACTATAAGGAGAATATAGACGGCCTAAGTAATAAGCTATTACTTGGCGATATTAGTTATACTACTACGGGACCCGCGAAGTATCTCGGGGCGACTTATAATATAGAAAATCTAATTAAACAAAAAACAATTTAGTTAAAAGAAGCTATAAAAGGGGAAGAAAATAGTAAAAAACGAGGAATAGTAGGAGGTTTATTTTACTACCCTTCCTATATAGTTTAGGTAGAAGGAATGACCCCCAGTTATATATTCGGCAGGTATATTATTTACGACGAGTATATACGCCGGCGAGGAGCTCGCGATAGTACCGCTATATGAGAGCTCCTTTATGCTATTTTAGGCCTTAAAAGGATTTTAGCTACTACGGATTACCTCCCTTCGAAGGAGCCTTTAATAGAATCAAATAAAGGAGGCTATTTTCAGATTATACACGGGGAGGCCAGGGTAATACGAGGTTATAATAACACGACCACGACCTCGCCGCCTCCGGCGGGTGGGGGGGGGGGATATTACGGGCTATAGCCCGCGGCATAGTCCCCGGTAATAGCCGTAACTAAGAAGCACGGACCCCCTAATAAGGCCCGTACGATCCTATATATACTTAGCCGCCTACACACCGCGCAGACTTTTCCTTTCCTCCTTTCCTTCCTTAGTTCGAATAATCTATATTTTCGGCCTTAATACGTGAACAACTTTTGACAAGCCGTCACAATTATCCTGCTACTAGTCTTAGAAGGCGATACGTCTTAGGCGTATTATCTCCCGCTTCGTGTGACTAAGGGTTAGGGCTAGGTAGAGGTATAGCCTAATACGGGCACCTTCTTTAGTAAGGTGATCCGCTAGTTTATTACCTTCGATGCCTATATATCCGGGGGACCATCGGGTAGCTATTTAGAAGGGGGCGTTATTAGCGTTATAGCGGAAGTCGAGGAAAGCCTCTTATAGAAGAGGGTAGGGTTAGGGGGCCGTCGATCCCTTAGATCACGGCTATATTATTAAGGTATACTATAATATTCCTTATAATCGTATCGGATTCCTTAAGGGCGGCGAGGAGGCCGGTCCTAGCACCTTCGGCTTCCGCGTCAGAGACTTCCGTACCGGGGAGAGGGCGATAGCCGGGGTATATAAGGTTAGTGCCCTTATATACCGTATAGCCGTAGCCGGTGCCGGCACCGCTATCGGTTTATATCTACGACCCGTCCATAAAGACGGTGATATCGGTAGGTATACGCGTCTAGAACTATCGCAGGAATTCTCTTATAGTAGTCTTCTTATCTGAGAATAGTCTAAGGGTTATAGGGAGCCTGCTATAGTCTAGCGGGGCTAGAGTAGGTTAAGGGTATTTAGGTGTTATTACCGCCGTGTTAGTAAGGATAGTAGGGCGGAGGGGGGGATCGGTTTATCTCGGGACCGGTATAAACGAATTCTTATTACTAGCGGGTAGTGGCTATTAAGTGACCAAAGTCGTACTACGTGTCTTATCCGTATAGCTTTAAGGAGTAGGTAGGCCGGTGGGGTGCTTAATTCCCTAAGTATAGTAGGGATAGGGGTAGTCTTCTAGACTAGGAGGCAGCCCGTTAAGGAGAGGTTAATCGTGACCTAGATCTTAGAGACTTAGTCCTATAGTCTGGCCTATACCCTAGGCTAGTCGTCGTTTTTCCGTTTTACGGTAGGGCGGGTATTACCGGGGTACTAGATCTTAGTACCGAAGAAGGCTTTAGGGAGGATAATTATATAGGTGGCTTTCCTTATAGCGGAGGGTAATACCCTATTAGTAACTCTATTAAGTCCACGGATATACCCGGCGGCCGATTATGCCTTAGCTGCCCGGGTTTTAATATAGGATTTAAATAAGAGGGTCCTATCGAGCTAGACTCCGAGCCAGCGTATAGAATAGCTCGGGGTAATCTATTAGCTAGCGTTTACGATATAGGGGTCCGAGGACTCCTTACGTCTCGTAAAGTATATTACTTCCGTTTTCCCTGGGTCGAAGGTAATAGCGTTATAGCGCCCCTATTCGATAGTACGGTCTAGTAGGGTTTAGGCCCTTTCGGTTATTTCGGTTAGGTTACTACCGATACAGAGTATTCCGTAGTTATCTATATACCCGAAGCGTGTCTAAGGGGTGCCGATCCGGTAAATCGGTTTAGTATAGAGTAGGAAGAGGATAGGGGATACTAGGCATTCTTATAGCAGGCCGTATTAAAGCGGGGTTATTTTCGTGGTATAACCCTTATAGCGGATCTAAGCCCTCCTATCGCTTAGGAAGCTATAGACCTAGGAGACTAGGTTAGTTACCTATCCCTATTCTCTAAGTCTATAGTAGAGGCGGTTTTTTAGGACGGTATCGAAGGCTCCCTTAATATCTATTATGATAAGGGTAACGACTTATTTTCGGGTAAGTGCTACCTCTATATCGTGTATAAGGGCTACCACGATATTAGTGGAGGAACGCTTTAGTAGGGCACCTGCCGTTTAGGGGTTAAGGACCCCGTTAGCCACGCTAGCCTAGGCTAGCCTTCGTAAGACTAGCCGTTTAAGGCCTTTCCTAAGGTATAAAAGGAGTAAAATTAGGCGCTAGCCTTTATATATACTAGCGTCTCGGTTAGGTTTAGGGATTATAACGATCTTTACTTCCCGAAAGGGATAGGGGTAATAGCCGAGGGAGATATAGACGCGGTATAGGTTAGTGGTATATATCTGGATAGTAGGCCACGCCGCTTTAAGTATAGTAACGGTGATTTCGTCTACTCCTAGCGAGGTGTTCCTAACTAGAAGGACTATCCTTTTAACCTCCTTATAGTAGACTTCGTCCTTATAGGGGATTATCTATTTTAGATAGGTCGGGGTTAAAAAGGGGTAATCGTCGCCTATTATAGACTTCTCTAGTAATCTCCTACGGAGGGAGTCTACCTTTTCGCTAGATGCGGTAACTATTCTATTACCGTCCTAGAGGGGGGGGATTATAGTTAGATACGGGGGGTATACTAGCCTATAACGCGGTATAGGTCCTTATTAGTCTGTATATTTTAGATCTAGTTATACTAGTAACTAGCCTTAGCTTTACGGCCAGTGGCCCTAAGGTAGTCACGGGCCTTAGAAGTATAGAAGGAGTCGGGGTTAATACGGCGGTGGTAGTAGAAGGATCTCCGTGCTTTGGCGTAGGAGTTAGACTACTACGATACCGCTTTAAAGGTTAGTCGGCTTCGCTTACCGACTATTTTAAGGGAGGTCTAAAACAGGACTATAAGTCCTTAGGCTACCCGATCTAGGTCCTCGGTCGTGTTAAGGGCTATAGGGAGGAGCCACGCGTTGTATTATACCTCCTCGGCGAATCGTGAGACATCGTGTAGGGGTAGTCTATATCTATCTAGGGTAAGCGGGCGGAAAGAATAGGGGATCTACGTTATAATAGTATGGTGGTTAGATTTAGTATATAGGTAGTTTATAACCTATAAGAAGGCGAGGGGGATATTTAAGAAGACTAGGTTAAGGGTATTCCCGGCGTTATATATTAGAACGCCTAGTATATTAAGGAGGGCGAGGGTATAGTATTCTACCTAATTTATAAGCCGTGCGGCTTCGCGGTTCGCAGAGACGCCGGGTTACTATATCGGGTAGTCGGTATTAAAGTCTCCCGCGATAAGTATATTAGCAGGGGGTTCCTAGTCTTCTAGGAGTTATAGAACGTGAAGCTTATCTTAGTCTCTATAGATATTAATAATATATAGCGAGTTAAGTTTTAGGTAGAGGATATCTTAGTAGGGGGTATCGTTTATATTATTGGTTTCTAGCGTGATAGTGCCTTTCTTAATATAGATAAGGACCCTAGGACGGGTAGAGGTTAAATCCTAGGACTATATAGGGGAAAGGCAGTTATAGCCTAGGTATATCTTCGTGGTATTAAGGGGTTTAATTAGGGAGTACTAAGACTCCTATATAAGGACGATATCGGCTCCGTCGGAGTATATAAAGTTAAGAGCGATATCGTGGGTAGGGCCGCCTTTACCTATATTCGCCTAGAATACCGTAAGGTTTCTAAGTATCCTAGGCGTTTTAGTTAGGTCCTATAGGAAAGTCCCTAATACTCCCCTATTCGGGAGAGGTAGCGGCTTAGTTAAACGGCGTAGGGGTTATACCGCCCTCGCTAATCGGGAAGTTCGTAATAAATTTATCGATAGCCGTCTCCGTTTATACGGCCTATTCGTCGATTTAGGGGTATTAGGTTAGGGGGTCCGAGGTCGGGGAGGTAATAGTAAGGGCCGGAGCTAGGCCCTCTATGTTATTCTTAAGAGAAAGGTTATATCGTCGGATCCCCTTCTTACGGATTACCTTTCTTTGCGTGTGTGTCGGGCGGGTAATCCGGCCGTTAAGGATTTTAGGGCAGGCAGGATAGCCGTCGTATATACTATAGTACGGTCCTTTATTATTAGCATACTAGGGGGGGAGGGTATAGGCCGAGTCGTGTTTAGGCCTTCTATACCTCTAGTAGTGTTATTATCTATAGCACGATTAGGAGCTATACTAGTTGAAGCATTTATCCTATTATATCAGTTATAGTTTCCGGATCGTGAGCCGGGATAGGGCGCTATCGAAAATCCTAAAAGGCTTAATAGAGTAGGCGAAGGAGATAAACCAGGTCTACGTGTTTATACCGGGATTCACGGCTATAGGGTAGTAGCTTAGTAGGGGGACCCTAATAGCTACTTCTACCTCTTCCTGGATTAGGGCCGCGGTGTCGACGAAGCCGTTAAGAGTTCTAATATAGATAGAGACCTAGGGAACCATAAAAGTAGTCTAAACCTTAGATCCCTTAATAGCTATTATATTAAGCAGTTTAGATAGCTTAGAGTAGCGAGTAAGTATAGCCGATCGCGCTCTAGTAGTCTTTAGGGTAATCGCGAAACCGGATTAAACCCGAGATATCTTCGTAATATCGTCGCCCTTAAGTAAGTAGTATTACGTAACTATTTAACAGATAATAGCTGGGTTAGTGGCGTAGTATGGGTTATCGTGTTATAGTCGGATAAAGATACGGTTATCCTGTATAGGTGCCTATTTAGGAGCCGTAGGTCCCTTTCGTATTATCGGCGGGTTATTCGAAGCTGGCGGACTAATAGGTGGCGGTTACCTTAGTTATCCGCCGCCTAAGGGATATCCGTCTGCTATAATACTAGCGTAGAACTACGGTCCGTATCGGAGTTATGGCTTTAGGGGATTATCGTGTCGACCTATTAGGATCTATTTAAGGGTATTAGATAGTAGCGACGTGTAGTGCTAGGTAGCCTCCGGGTATTCCTTAGTCAGCATCGTAAGGGTCTATTTAATATTCTTAATAAAGGCTTTTCCTATATAGTAGAAACTATCCTATACCGCCTTAATCGCTATAAGGCTTTTAGCGATACTTTTTGCCGGGTTTATATCCTGTACGGAAATTAGCTTATTTCCCGTGGTGGGTTCTATAGCCTGTACGGGCGCGTTAATTAGTGCAGAATTTTTACCCTGCCTTAGTAGACCAGGGAGATTAAAGGGGGGGGGGGGGTATCTCCACCCGTTTAGCATTTCCCTAGGGGGAGGGTATAAAAGATTCGGCGGTAGTTCTCTTCTTAGTTAGGGATTTAAATAGCGATCCCTCTATCACGAGGGGGCTTAACGTCGCTATTATAGTATAACGACTAGTTAAAAGTTATTCACGTAATAAGGCCGAAAATATAGTTTATTCGAACTAAGGAAGGAAGGGAGGAAAGGAAAAGTCTACGTGGTGCGTGGATAGCTAAGTACAGGTTAAGTCGCACGGATATCGCTAGGAGGTGGTCCGTGCTTAAGTCTCGCCCACTGCCGAGGACTATTCTATAGGTATAGCCCGTAATATCCCCCCCCCCTTAAGGGGAGGCGAGGTCGGGGTTGTGTCGTGTCCCCCGGCCGTAGCCTCGCGTTACTATAGCTCTAGCTGCTGTAAACCCGAAAATAGCCTCCTTTATTTAATCCCTTAAAGGCTTTATTATAGGAGAGCGCTTCCTAGGGATAGGGGAGTTCTTTTAAGTCTAAAATAGTATAAAGGGGGTCCTATATAGCGGTGCGGTCGTGAGCCCTTCGCGCGCATATAGGCCTATCACGACGATATACCTTCCGTAGATATAACGTTCCTTCTACCCTAAATAATATAGGAAGGTAGTAAAATAAACCTCCCCCCGTTCCTTACTTTTACCCTTTTTCTTCCTTTTCCACGACCTCTTTTTAGGTATAATGGGGGGTTTTTTTTAATTAGCTTTTTGTATTATAAGTAGCCCTAAGATAGCTTATAAGTCCTATAGTAGTATAACTAACGTCGCCGAGGAGCAGCTTATTATTAACGCCGCCTATATTCTTATCGTAGTAAGTTAGCGCGTCCTTCGCTAGAGGTTTTAGTGCTATAGCTAAGTAGGAGTAGATATCTAATATCGCCACTCTTAGTAAATACCCCTATAAGGGTAATAGCGATAACGATATAAGTTTACTACTTATATTACCGTGCGAGGCTACTTATTACTAACCGCGAGTAGACTCCTATTAAAAAG